GGGAAGTGGGGGGTGGGGGTTGTGTGGGACAGGGGATGTCCCCCCAGCCATGAGAGAACCCAGGTGTGCTGCCTGCCCCCAGCTCAGGGAGCCCTGCTGACTCAGCCCAGGTCCCTGCCAAGCATGAAGGGGTGACGCCCCCCCCCCGGGACAGACTTCACAGAGAGGAAGCCAGACATCCTGCCTGGGGGTGCAGCAGGGGATACGGGAAGCACTGGGGGATGGATGCAGCTTCCCCCCGACCAGGGACAGCAGGACGGGGGTGGGAGGTTCTGCATCCAGACTCCTTTTCTTGTTCTTTCTGCAATAAAATGGTTCATTTACTGAAGCCCCTGGCTCCGGCCTCAGTTCCTGCGGGGGGGCGGCTGGGGGCATTATGGGCAAAGCCCGTCTGCTGGCAATGGGTGCAGCTGCTGCAGGGGTTACCAGGGGACCCAGCGCTGAGATGTGGCTGCTTCTGGGGTGCTACAGACTAGGGCAGGTCGACGGGGGGAGGGGGGAATGCAGCCACCTCTAGGGTGGGATGCATGAGGGTGGGTCCCAGCTAAAGGAAAGCCAGCCACCGCTGCAGGCTGGTCCCTGGAGAGTGGGAGGCAGCCAATTCTGGGGTGGGATGTACCAGGGATGGTTGGGGGGGTGGTGTGCAGCCACCTCTGGGGTGGGACCTACCAGGGCTGGTCCCTGGCAGAGATGCACCCACCTCTGGGGTGGGAAATACAAGGGCTGGTCCCTTGGGGGAGGTTTTGAAGCCACCTCTAGGGTGGGATGCACCAAGGTTGATCCCTGGAGGAGATGCACCCACCTCTGGGGTGGGATGTACCATGGCTGGGCCCTGAGCGGGGATGCAGTGATCTCTGGGGTGGGCCATATCAAGACTGGTCCCTGTTGGGGGTATGCATCCACCTCTGGGGTGGGACGTACCAGGGATGGTCCCTGTGAGGGTATGCAGACACCTACCTCCGCAGTGGGATGTACCAGAGCTGGTGCGGGGGGGAGGGGGGGAGAGGTGCAGCACTCGGGATGAGGCGTACCAAAGCTGGTCCCTGGGGGGGATGCAGCCACCTCTGGTGTTGGACGCACCTGGGCTGGTCCCATGGGGGTGGAAATACAGCCACCCCTGGAGTGGGACATACCAGGGACTGCTTGTGGGGCAGTGCAGCCACCTCTGGGGTGGTATGTAGCAGGGCTGGTCCCTTGGGGTGGAGATACCGCCGCTTCTGGGCTGGGAGGTACCAAGGCTGCTTTGGGGGGTGGGATGCAGCCACCTCTGAGGTGTGACGGACCAGAGCTGGTCCGTGCGGGGGAGGCAGACACCCCCGCGAAGGGACTTGAGCGATGTGGGGAGGGGGGCTTGTCCTAGTGCCATGGGGCCGGTTTTCCCGCTCGATGCCCATTGGGCCGAAATAGAGAGGTGGGCGGGGCCTCTCTGGAAGGATGGGCGGACTTCTGACCAGGGGGCGGGGCTTCTTCGGGGAGCAATCTGTCAGTGAGTTGAAGGGGGCGTGTCCCTCAGAGCTAGTGGGCGGGGCCACTGTCACCGTTGTGGGGGGGAGGGGCGTAGAG